TCTTCTTCTTCTTCTTCTTCTTCTTCTTCTTCTTCTTCTTCTCCTCTTCCTGTTCGGACTACTGTAGCAGCAGTCGAAATAGATAGTAAAGAAAAAAAAATAAAAAAAAAATCACTGAAAAGGAGAGTTAATATACCCTCCAAATCCAGCTCTCATGTCCAGAACATTTCGTAACTTCAATTTTTTCCAGCGGAAGGCACGAACATAACTTCCTATTATCTCATTCCAATATTTCCATTCTGCTTTGAAAAGCTCTTTTCTAGATATGTAGGCATCCATTTGTATGCTCTGGAGCCTATCTGGTGGGTCATGCAGGCGTGCAGGCCACATCGCAACATTTGCTCCATAGCCATTCTCAGGTAGTCGAGTGATGCATGCCTTCAAATCAACATACCTGCAGAGAAAGCATAGTACATAATATAGTTAATATTTTTTCTTTATGCAAACTGCAATAACAAGATGGTGGGAAGAAAGTTTTAGAGTGCCATATAGGTCAGCAATGATGAATGTATTGACTTCCCAAAAGAAGATCTCCCATTGAACCTATTAAGAGATACCTGATGTTTTCTTTCTGCTTGGATGGATCAAGAATATCATGGCATTTTGATGGACATTCTCTAAGTACAAATTTAAAGCAATACCTTAACCATAATTATTGTTAGTTCATAGGGTGACAACTAAGGAGAACGACAAGAGGTGGATCAGAAACCACAATATCCCATTGCAAATGTGAATTCATGCTATTGGAATTGCATGAGATAGCTAGGGGTATCAACCAGTCAGGTTTGGTACAGTGCTGCTCAAGCTCAACCCGAACTTGGCCCAATTAAATGAATTAGGATAACAAATCCAACCTGCTCTGCCACACGCACAGTACACCTATAGTCAATTAAGGCTATATTTACAAATGTTTTAATGCTACAATATAAATGGGCCCAGTTTGGCACAGGTCAGCCTTGACTCAAACTTGACCCATGACCCAATTAAGGCTGACCCAACCCTAACCCAACAGGTTCGGCTAAATGCGGGTTTACTACTTAACCCAACCTATTGTCATCCCTAGGGATAGCAACTTAAAAGTTCCTCATAAAATGCAAATGAACCTATAATATGTATCAGATTAGACTACCTTTACATCTGATTCTGTGAACAAGATAAAATTTCTCATTGGCTTTGTTACCAATAAAGAATGCCTCTAAACTATTTGGGTCAGGGATTACCAAAAAAAAACTATTTGGGTAAGTAAAACATGATTCTGGAGTTTAAATGTTACCAAAGCGATATCAATCATTACACATTTCACTTCAAGATTATTCTTCACTACAACAGAGTTCGTGACTTTTGGATCCCCCTAGCACTTTTAGTGCCTTTAACTGCACCAAACCCTCATAGTTCATGCCATCATTAGTCTTTTTGTATAATTTATTTTATTTACATATACATAAGATGTCAAGGAAGATTAGATAAGGAAAAGAAGTTTGAGAAAGTATTCTAAGAAGCATAGTTTTACACCATGGAAAGAGAATTTTACTGTTTTATACTTGTATGTATTTGGCATCCCTGGTGGGACCACAGTAGAGTCCCATCAAGGTTCAAAGTATCAATAAGTATCACATTGTATCATGCATATCATATCGGTATTGAAAGTCACCAAAACTCAAAATACTAAGAGTCTGAAAGTAAGGGACCGTTAATATTCATCCTAACAAACCCATCCGTAAATATCAAACTGAAAAAAGGCTAAAAAAGGAGTATTGGCCAATCGAAACACATGATATGCTTTTTTTTTGTATTGTGTGTGCTGATATTTTAAACCCTGGTCCCAACATATAACAAACAGATAAATTTGGTTTTCTTAAGACATGCATTGGAAAAATGGAATTACCAGACATTGTCTGGGTCATCATCTGGATCACATAATGGAGGTTTTGTTCCAGCATCACGATTCACATAGCAGCTGTTGTTTAGAGGTTTTTTCCAAATGGCAATATATCCCTCCTTCTTCACAAGCTCCCAGCAAAGGCGGTCAGTAAGATCTACCATCTCTGTCAAAAACAAAGCCCATGCAAGATTGCTAAGCAGAAAGACAATACTCATCCAAGACATTAAGTAATGAAGATTGGAAATTGAATGATATTTTGCCATTTTGGTTATTTGGCCATGCAAATCAATGTTTTATAGAACCAAGACCCACTTAACAGAGGAACCAGATGCCTTTTTTAAAAGCATTAGCTGCCAGCCTGCCACACCCAAAGTGCCGAAGTCACTCAAAATGATTGCCCATGGGGTTCATTGCTGGACTGTGCAACCCATGCAGATCAAAAGAAATAGATGGGGTTGATGATTTGTCAAAAAGCAAATAAAAATGAAAAAAAAAATCAATTTGCTCTCCTTGAAGATTTTCACAAAACCAACTACTTCTGCTATGATCTCAGAGCCTTCAATTTCTTGTAAGCTTGAGGTTAAAATTCAAGAGCTCAGGGAAAAGATTATAAACTTCTCAAATTACCATTATAAGTTGAAGCCTTGAAAGCTCAGAACTAAGAAGTGGATACCAAAGAAGCATTGGAAATGCACCACATGTTCAACACTGAATTAGTGTTTATTATTGAATAACCAAACCCAATAATGACCAAACCCTTACCCACAAAACAAAATGATGAAAAACAAAATGATGAAGAGGAAGACTGGGGAAGGGAATCAGATAACAATGTTATCACTAAGTAGTTAACAAGGAAAAGGAAACTTCTAAACATGAAGGTTTTGACATATAAATGAACCAGGGAGGGCAAATAGGATACTTGTTGAAGTAGTGAACAAGGGACTTAGAACTCATAATTAAACAGAAGATATGACTCTTGATAGAGTTGAATAATGAAGCAGGATCTCAGTGCTGAGTTAAGGCTTTGTTCAATTGAGTTGGGCATGTATGTAGGTATGCAGGTTAGCTAACGGGGAACTGTATATTGTGCCTGGGATACTTTGGTTGTATATGGGTTAAAAAGATGTATATTCTCTTTTTTGTTTCATTATAAGGCAATACTTTACCTTTTCTTCAAAAAGAAAATGTCAGTTGATAACCTAAAAGGGCTCCATGTGTCACCATCCCAGCCCTCTATTCATGGGGCAACTCTCAGCCTAGCAGCCTTGCCATGTGAACAAACTTACGTCCTTTTCTGGGCACTTGTGAAAGTTAAAGATAGAAGCTATGCTAAGGTCAYGTAGGAAAATGTCCAATAAATGATGGGTTAGAATGCTCACACGAACCACAATTTGCATTTATAGCCAATTTACCCACCCCCTACTTGAGAGATGACCTGGTTGACCTCATCATCTCTCCACATGACTGAACTAGTGATTGTATGCTGTGTTTAATGTCTTTCTGACATCATCATCTAAAATGGTCGAACTAAACACTGGGTCAGACTCCCAGAGGCATTGCTGAAGTTACAAGGACCTTGCTTAGCCATGAACAGAGAAAGTATTGATACTGATGAGGGTGTGGATACTGTCAAAATAGTTTATGTTATATAATGAAAAAAAATACTTCCAAATTGCAGTTTTGCAATCATAACATGAAAAATAACAACTAAAACTTCAAAATGTTTTTTCTTTATTTGAATTCATGCAGTAATACCTTTCCATTGTTCTTCTAGAATCTCTTCATGTTTGTAAACTGGTTGTGCTGCCCAAGCAAAGTATCCTCCAGCTCTGAGCATCCTGTTGACCTCGAGAAGCAAAATTCCATCTTCATCACAAATAAAGAAGGAATGCAATCAGAATTACAATTCTAAGCAAGTTAACATTTTATAATCAAGCATTGGAAATATTACTATCCATTTCCATCCCACAACACAATTTTGAAGGAAAACAAAATCCATCACATGATAACAATGTTTAGCAACATATAAGGGTGTAAACAGTATCTAGAAGACTGAATTCATATTCAACATCTGAAGTAATAGATTGAACTCGAATAACTCAATTAAAATCATCGGTCAAATTCAAATACAATATTGGTACCAATTATTATTTTATTGAATCAAATTCAAATATGGCCATTTTTTATTCAATAAATGTCTGAACCAATAATAAATATATAAACCTACAAACCATATATTTATATAAATTAATATTTATACTATTACACACACGTAGAGGGAGAAAGAGAGCGAGAAGCCGAGAAAGCAGCTGTCATTCCTCACCCCTGATTTATCCCCCTTGAAACCCTCATCATGTCCTCTACTAATGAATAACACTTCTAGGCCGAATCCATCTTCAACCTATGCAAAGAAGTGAGAAAAGGATGGCTCTCCAACCACAACCTCATCTGGCTTTCTCTCTTGCCAGTTCATATCTCTTTCTCTACATACCATTTCCAATTTCTACCTAGGGTTTATATGAACCCATTTGCATGTTGATTCCTTCCTTCCTGCTAAGTGCTAACTTGTTCAACCATTTCAGGGGCTTGGTTTTAATGTCAGCATAATGCTTCTTTGTAATTTACCACTGCATCTGAAGAGCTAATAAACCCTTTTTGATCTTCTAAATGTAATCTTTTGGGGATTTTGTACTGGTTATGTTATCTGTATTTTCTTTGGCAGAAAGAACACATGAGCTTTTTTTCCCTTAGCATCCTATCAATGAAAGGCAGTTTCTGRCTGATGCATTGCTTGGTTTCTTGCTCTGAAAAACCCTAATTGCTTGCTCATTTTTTAATCAAATATTAAAATAAATAATCAGTCTAATTCGAATCGAATCAAATATTCAATTAATTAATCGAATTCAAATTTGTTTTTTTTTCAATATCCATCAGATATTGAATCAAATTTGAATATTGCTTTATTCAATTTGAATTCACTCTATTTACACCCCTAGTAAAACTTCCCAATTTATCAAAAAAAAAAAAGAAGATAAATAAGGATGAGAGACTAAGATTCACATCCTTTGTAAATGCAAACATTGTAGAACAAATGCACATTAAAAATTCTTAATCCACCTTAAAAAGGCCAGGCTTTTTTTAACTAGATTAGAGATATGAAAGAAAAAAGCATACCATCACGGGCCCAATTAATTCTGCATCTTGAACAATGTATCAAATCAAAAGCCTGACTTGGATACAATAAACGGTGCGTTGCAAAAGCTGCCACCATGGCAGGGACACCACGCTCAAGAGCAAACTGAATCTGATTCTCATGAACATCTTTTGGTGCTATGGAGAGAGTGATTACATTGCGGGTAAGCAAGTAGGCACCAAAGCTTGCTACCCCACATCCAACATCCAAAACAACTCGTGTATGATGACCAAATGCAATATCAGGGACCATCTGTATATTTGGGTGTTAAAATGAGAATCAACCTTAGGAAGGGAAAAACAAAGATTTAAAATGACAGATATGCATATCATTAACAACTTTTTTCTATAATTGAATAAAGGTATTTATTCAATGCTTGATTTGACAACTTTTTTCATATAGATACTTATTTGAAAATAATTACGGTTTTCTTGAAAAAAAAATACATAAGTAAAAAAGAAAGAACTTTATTCATTGGAAAATTTAACCAAATAATGGTCTTAGTAAGAGAAGTAACTATTAAAGGCATTATCTACAAGTGGTATTTAACAATATAACATTACAGGTTTCTTTAACACTATAAAGCTGCTATTGCATGTTAATTTGTTCCTCTAAAAAACATGAAAGTTTGGCAAAATTGGTTACTTCTTTTTTATCCATGTTAGCATAAAACAAACCTGTGAAATTTGATCCAAGTATTGATCTGCCCCATGTATAAACTGGGTACCACCTCCAGGGAATTTAAATTTATCCTTGTCTCTTGAAATCCAGTTCTGGCCACCTTTATCTTCAACCAAACGTGTATGGGGTACATTATTGAACCATACCTGTGATGACATCTCAGAGCTTAATAAAGCAATTGAGTTTGTACATATGCAAAATTCATTCATCAAATTAAAAGGTTTTAGAAATCAGAAGCAGAAGGAAGAAAGGAAACTAACTAGATCCATATTTGTTCACCAAAACCATGCTATCAAATGATACAATGAGCAACAGTTTTAAAATACTCAAAATGTACCATGATATACTTATACGGGGAAAGAAAAGATTTGTCTACCAGCAACCTAACATAGCATTAGTGCTAATATTCTTGCTTCCTTTTGTTCATAATGTAAACTCGAGTTCCACCATAAACTCAAGTATAGCAATTCTAACATAGCATAAGTGCTAATATTCTTGCTTCCTTTTGATCCATTTACTTGTATACCAACCATAAACTCAAGTTCCAATCATAACTGGAATACTTTTCAAGTGGAATCAACGGGTCAACATAAAGAACCATTCTGCAATGTAGGCCATAACCGGATAGAACTGACTAGCTACTGGAACTGTTTTTACGTAAGAACTAAGAAGAGCCTCCAATGTAATTTGCGGGTTTTGGCTCTGCTTCATTACTACCAAATACAATTAAAAGAACTGAATTCCAAATAATTCGTTCAGTTGCTTAAATAATTAAGAACTATCATGTAGTCCACTGATTCCCACAGATAAAGTACATCAATTCTAACCGAGAATTCATACCTAAAAGAAAAGATGAAACTTGGTGATGCAATATAATAAGAACAAAGAAATTACCTCATCCCTGCTTTTCGGCCAGGGGATAGGTAGCCTGTAGCCCTTTGGTGCTGGAACCAAACAATTCAAACTCCGACCTTCCCCAGGACAATGCCGCTCATACTTCTCTCCCTTTTCCATCGAATTCAACTTCTGAATCGCCTCCACATTGTCCAAACAAGGTATATACTCTCTCATACGCTCTGGACAAAGAGAAAATCTCTTAACCCTAACCCTAGAACTCTGACTCTGTTCCCCTTCCTCTGTCTCAGTTCCGTTCCCCCAATTCTCAACCAATTCAGGATCAAATTCACCGACCTCGAATTCCTCTGCCATGGTGCCATTCTCATCGACGATTCCAAATCTCTCCACCGACGCCGGTGGCGGAGACGGCGAAGGTGGAGGGGGTGACGGGAGCGCATCGGGAGGTGGAGAATTATCTAGAGGAGGAGTTGTGGATGAAAGATTCAAGAGCGATGTTAGATCCGGAACATTGTCAGTCTTGTTAGCCGTGATGGATGATAGATCGAAGGTCTTGTTAGCGTTGGGAGAGATTGCGACAGAACTGGATTTATCATCGCCGGCGGATTGTCGGCTGTTGTAGAAAATGAGCTGTTGGTAACCGTCGGACCAGTGCTTGCCGAGGTGGAAGAAAGCGAAGGAAATGAGAAAGAAAGCTAAGATCTTTACGACCAATGGAGCTTTGAATAAATCACCACTGCTCAAGGATTTCATGATTTGCGGTGTTTTGAGAACCACTGTGGCATTCTATGACAAAGCTCACATGAGTCCAGAGGCTAAAGATCTCTTTCCAACCGTAAATGAAGCCGAAGAACGGAAACTATGGCCGTCGACGATTCCTGTTGCCCGTCGACCACGCGACACGTGTCCTAAATATATTTTTTATTGTGTGAGTGAAATATCGAATTCGAACCAACCGAGGGCTGGCTCGTTGGTGTATTAACTGATCYCGCAATCAACACTTAGCACTTAGCAGTCGCCGCACGTCGCTCTCTTTGCTCTTGTTGTGCGCTGAATAGTTTGTCTTTACTCGCATTATATGACATCATCAGGAAATGTTACTAACACACGGTTGGGGATGTAGTGTGAGACGTTGTGGAGTGGAGATGTGATATCGTGAAAAGTTTCTTATCGAATCATCAACATCGGGTATTGACGTATTGTATAGGATAATTTATATATGGATACGGATTCTCTTTCTATATGCATGGATATTAAATTAAATATTTAAATACATTGGTGAAATGTATATAATTTTTTGTAAATATACTAGTAATATTAAATTTAATTTTAGAATAATATAAACATATAAGAAATATATATTTTAATAGTATATATAAAATAATATATTATAATTAATATAATGGAACACATAAATATTATAAAACTTTATTGAAAAATTAATCAATTAAGAGTTCAAAGGACATATTTTATAGATTTTTATAAATTAATATATGCACAAAATCATTATTATTTTATTTTCTATTAAGTCCAAGGCATGAAACATATACAACTATTATATTTGAATTATTATATTAATTTTTTATTTTTAACATTACAAAAGTAAAATAAAAAAATAATTATCAAATGTTTCGTAAACAATATTTTCATTTTTCTGTAAAAAAATAATTATGTTGTTATAAAATGTAATAATTTATAAAATATATAATCTCAACTTAAAATATATTTTTATTAAAATTTTAAAGATACATGTCATATGAAAAATCATAAAATTAACTACTAAAATAATGATTCCATTATTAAATAATTTTATTTTTAAACTTTCTAAAATAAAAAATCAATTTTTTGATATCGATGTAGATTACTAGATTTGATAGATTAAATTTATAATATATTCTTGAGTATTTTGTAAACAATACTTTCATTTTTGTAAATGATAAATATGTTGCTATTTAATGCAAATTAAAAATATTAATTAATAATTTATAAAATATTTTCATCCAATTGTGTATTAATCCTTTTCACATATGAGAATAAAATTGTTCCACAGAAAATAAGCCCTTTCGAGAAACCCAGTAAAATGAAATTATCACGAGCAGTGAACGGCGATATCCCAACTTAAGGTTCTTAAGATTTGGAGTTTTTTTTTTTTTTGTGGGCTTGACATTTAAATAAATAAATAAGTTGGTTTCACGGGTAAAAACCTTACGTGTTACTCAATTGAAATATATGGAACAACGGGATGTTAAAAAGATAAATGTTTGTTTGCCAACAAGATTTTTTCTGTTGAATATATTATTAAATTATAAAGAAAGACTTAGGCTGTAATCAGTTCAATTGTGGGATCATTAACAACCAATCTGATTCTTTACATGTGCTTTGAATTCATACTTTTAGCTCCTATTACTAATAGAGTTGGTTTGTTGTTGGCATTTTTAATTCTATTTATAATGTGGTTAATTTTTTTAAGCCTAATTAGTGTAAAGACATGTGTATGCTTAAAAAACAGGGGTAATAGCATATAAGGGTAACTTTTGGGGTTTAATATCAGTAAAAGTAATATATTTTAAAAAAATCAAAAATAGGTTAACTTTTTAAAAATAATATCAATAAAGGGCCAAAACACTGTTCATCTTCTTATTCTTGCCATTTGTTCACCAAAGCCGTCGTCCACTACCGCCTCCACCTCCGGCAACATTGTCAGAGGTGACCAAAGGCAGAGGTGGCAGCGGCGGCGCTGGTGATTTCTCTGTTCAACGTCGCCACCTCCGCCTCCAGCAACATTGTCGGAGGTGGCGGTGGCGGCGGCGGCGCTGGTGGTCATTCCTCTACCCGCCACCGCCGCCACCTCTATCTCCACCCATCTCCGGCAGCGTTGCTAGAGGCGGAGGCGGAGGTGGCGGCGTTAGACAGAGAAACCACCAGCGTCGTCGCCGTCACCACCTTGCTGGAGGTGGACGATGGCAGCTCTAATGAACAAAGGGCAAGAAGAAGATGATGAACAGTATTTTTTGCCCTTTATTGATATTATTTTTAAAGAATTAGCCTATTTTTAAAAATTTTTTAATTATATTACTTTTATTGATATTAAACCACAAAAGTTGTCCTTATATAATAGAAACCCTAAAAAAAACACATGCATATTATACATGTGTGTAAATAAATTGTAAAGATATAAGCTGACATTATATAATCAAATTTAATTTTCATGACATTCACTAAAACTAAGACAAGTAACCACTTTATAACAATATGGATGATAAAAATTCTTTGAATAATGTTCAAAATACAAACAACATAACAATAATTGATACTAGAAAAAACAAACAACAATGATGAATAATAACTTAATCGTAAACCTACTTAATTAATAAACAATAAATAAACATGAGCACTATGAATGAACATCAAACAAGCCCTCAACAAAGTCACACCAACAACGAAGGACAAATGCCTTCAACTAGTGGCAAATCCAAGACATTTGATTAATGGGGGTAGGGCTGCAAATGGTCCAGGTCTGGTTTGGGATAGGGTAGAATTGTTCAAAATCGATAGTACCGAAACCAAACTAGACCTAATCAGTTCTATTATTTTAAACCCAATATATCAATATGGTGAGGGGGTTTACTTGACCCATTCGTCACAACCTTGTGGCAAGATACGCACAGGCAGTGCTTACAAAATCATATTAGTGGTATAAAATTTGGCGTACATCCATTTCCCCTTCCCACTTAATTCGATTCATCTGTTTGGGTTYGTCTCTAATGCTTTCGATAAAATATTGGGATGGTGAGGGGGTTTAATTGACTCATTCGTCACAACCCCAATGGCGGGATTCACACACACGGTGTGGAAGACACTTACAAAATCAAATTGGTAGTGCAAAATTTTACGTACATCCAGTTCCCCTTTTCCACTTAATCTAATCCCTCTATCATTGATTCACCTCAAATTTTTCCAAGAAGATATAGGGATGGCAGGAGTTTTCCTTGACCCATTCGTCACAATCCCATGATGAGATGTGCACGTACGATGGCTAATGACACTCACAAAATCAGATTTACCAGTGCAAAAGTTTATGTATATCCAGTTCCCCTTTTCTAATTATTTCGATTGCTCTGGCATGAATATCAGGATGGTAAGGGGGCTTACTTGTCTCATTCGTCATAACTCTATGGTGGAATACATGTGAACGGTGGCAGACAATGTTCACAAAATCAAATTAACGGTATAAAATTTAACATACATTCAATTCTCCTTTCCACATAATCTAATTATCATGGCACGGATTAGCCTCTGATGCTTTTGAGAAGATAACGAAAGGGTATGGAGGCTTTACTTGACACGTTCGTCATAACCCTGTGATGCTATACGCATGGACAATGGTGGATGATGCTTACAAAATCAAATTTACAATGCAAAAGTGTACATACTTCCCGTTCCCCTTTCCACTAGGAATGGCAATGGGGCGGGGTGGGGATGGAGAGCCTCTCCCCATCCCCGTACCCGTCCCTGTCCCTGCTAACAGGGACAAGGTTATCCCCATCCCCACAGGGATCCCCATTCCCCGTATTTTTTTATAATGTTAACCATTTTGTTTTTGTTTTTTATTTTATTTAAAAAATAAAAATGAAATCATTAAAATTTACAATCCAATTATAAAATATTTAAAACATATCCAACCATGTTTTTAAAAATATTTTATTTAGATGTATGTGTACATATATACATATATATTAGTGGGGATCTCATGGGGTGGGGAGTGCTCTCCCCATCCTTGCGAACGAAGATGAAAATTTCCCCATCCTCGTCCCCGCGGGGGGAAATCATCCCTATCCCTGCCCCATTCGAGGCAAATCCCCACAGGGATCGAGGAAATGGGAAAAGTTGTCATCCCTACTTTCCACTTAAATTGATTCATCTGGCATGGATTCACCTTAAATGCTTTTGAGAGGATATCAGGATGGTATGTAGGGTTTACATAACTAGTTCGTCACAACCTCGCGGCAGAATACGCGTGAACGGTGGCTAACAACGCTCACAAAATCATATTAACGGTGCAAAAGTTTACATACATCTAATTCCCTTTCCACTTAATTGGATTCCTCTGACATGGATTCCCTTCTAATGCTTTCGAAAAAATGTCAGGATAGTAAGGGGTTTACTTGACCCGTTTGTCACAATCTCACGTCACAATATGCACAAACGATGGCGAATGACACTCACAAAATAAAATTAGCGGTGCAAAATACATATGGTTCCCCTTTCCACTTAATTTGATTCATCTAGCATGGATTCCCCTCTAATGCTTCCAAGAGGATATCAAGATTGTAAGGGGGTTTATTTAACCCGTTCTAAACAATCCCACAATGGGATACATGCAGACGATACTACACTCACAAAATCATATTAGCAATTACATCATATTCCTCTTTCTAATTAATCGCATTCCTCTAACATGGATTTACATCAAACGCTTTTGAGCGGATATCAATTCATCTCCAATGATTCCAATAAAATATTAGGAGGGTATGGGGGCTTTACTTAACCCATTCATCACAATCCCACAGCACGATACATATGAATGGAGGTGGATGACAATTACAAAATCAAATTAGTAGTGCAAAAAAGAATTATATACTTCTAGATTTCCTTTTCACTTAATATGTTTCCCCTGCTACGAATTTTCCTCCAACACTTCCGAAATGATATCGGAATGGTAAATGGGGTTTACATGACTCGTTCTCCATAATCCCATGATAAGATACGCACGAACAACACATATAACACTTGCAAAATCATATTAGCGTGCAAATTTTGGCATACATTCAATTTCTTTATYCATATGATATGATTTATTTGCCATGGAWTCATCTCCAATGCTTTTAAGAAGATATGAGGGTAGTATTGATAAGTGGGGTTTATGTGACCCTTTCGTCACAATCTCATGGCGGCGGATGACGCTCATAAAATCATATTAGTAGTACATAAG